ATGACCCATTGATGAGTGGGTCTCATGATATTAGAGGCAACCAATATAAGACTCTAAATTTGTGCATCACCTCGGTAACCTCCATAATGCATATGAGTCGCGCTCATATACATATGAAGGCTGCCAATGTAGCACTCTGCTAACGTTGATCTAAAGGCATCTCAACGAGAAAGGGCAAACCTCTCTCAATTGTTCATGGAAATGCTTAGCACAAGTATCGTCTCTAACATGGGCCCCATTTGTTCGTTGGACAGTCCGTGAACAGCTCATCCCAATTAGACCCAATTGTGAGGTAGGAACACAACGCCATGTCCATCGGCAGCGGCAGAATGTCCTGGCTCCATGTCGATCCCGCCTTATGCCCCCATAAAAACCCTTTTCTCACTCTCCCTATTGTGTCAGTTCTTTCTCTCACCGGCCAAAACTCCGATGCACAACCCCATCGCCACCGACCAAAATGGTGCCCTGCCGCACCCGCGAGGAGCTGCCCTAGGCCTCCCGCACCGCCTGGTTACTCTCGGGGTGCCGGCACCGGCCCCTCCCGTCATCCTGGAGTTTCAGTGGACGACACTAACTCCTCTCGTCATTGCCTATATCCACCACCAGATGAAGTGGGGTCATCCTACGCACCGCGCTTTTGTTGCTTGGTGCGTCCACCTCACACCGCCCGTGTCGCCACCCCACACAGTGACGCGGCCATGACGCTGAGTGGCCCGTGTCGCCACCTCACACCATCTAAAGGCATAGGTGCTCGTGGCCGACTCGGATGGCTCCGAAAATGGCGAGCCGGTGCAAATCTCCATCCTGCAAGATAAAAAAATACTAAGGTACAAGATTATCAAAAGAATAAATAAATAAACTATTAGAAACTCTTTTCACCATAGGGGCAACGGCCGACCCTGGCCGGCCGCAATGTATCTCCTTCGTTAACAGCTGCAGATTCAAGCGCGAGAGTGTTAAAATTTTGAATTTTTAATAGCAATGTATACGTTGGAGTTAGATTTGCATAGACAGAGGCAAATGTGTAGAATTACCTGAACAGAACCACCGTATCAGATCTTACATCATACTCCTTTGGATATTGATCGCTGCCACAATCGTGATTGTGTAGCTTTTTTCGCCGTTTTTCTTTTAGTACAAGACACATTGTGGCCCATGTTCAAAGAAAACAATTCCTTCAGATATGTTACAAATACCATGTTCTACAAAAAATGCACTTTGCATTCACGTCGTACGTCTTTCATGTATATATATCCATAACTTACACTCTTACAGCCATCCTAACAATGAACAGGAAAAACATAACTTATTATCTTTTGACGAGGTATGGTTGGAAAGGTTGAATCTATGAACCTAAACGAAGTGACACAAGCTGGACAAGGGGAAGAAAAGGGGGGAAAACTACAACAATACACGATTTAAAAATTGGAGCCGAATGTCGTGACTACAGCTTCCTTTCAAAATCAGAAGGCACTATCTACCACCAAATGTGATCGGCCGACGGATCAATCCAGTTTTATTTCTTCTAAATGTCCTTCCTGCCCGTTCATTTTATCCGTGGTCGTCTCGACAGTTGGCACATCGCTGTCCATCTTGGCCGTCTCCAATCCGGGTTCATCCCTGTTGGGTGTCTCCACTCGCTGTTCACCCTCTTTAGGCGTGGCCTCCTGGTTTCCGTGGTCTGTCTTTGGTGTCTCAACACTTTGCTCAGTGTTGTTATTAAGCTTGCCGTTTGTTGACTCGTCTTGTTTGCCCTGTAAAGAATCCATGGCACCAGTAACATAATATAAGAAAAGGGAGAACTTTCATATTGATCTCATATAGTTAGTCGAACATACCAAAAGTGAGGAAAAGCATAAGGGAGTTATAAAACCAAAGAACAAGAAACCTTGTAAATTGCTAGTGAATGTGTGCTTTGAATATAAGTGTAAAACAAAGAAGGCAAAACGCCATGTGCCCCTTCAATCACATTTATCAGCCCTATTCAGGATATATTTAAAGAATATAAATCGTTTAAGCACTCAATAAACACAATTTTCATGTACTCTCATAGGCCATGGAACTAAGATTATCATGTCTTCCCCGTCAGCATCCCCCTAAACCTAAATGGCAGGAGATGAAAGCCCACTTGCAACTACAACTAGCAGAAGAGCATTTATTAGAATATTTTTTTTTATCACTGATAAGACCTTGAATGAATCAGAATGTTCTCTCAGGTAACAAGCTAGCAAAATATTTTCCTGCTTTTGCAGTAAGATGGAAGCTAAGAGCAAAAACAAAAACCCTGCAGGGTTGATTCCTTCAAAATGGACTTGGTGGGTGTTTATGCAAAAAAAGGGCTTATTTGCAAAACATGTGGGGTCAGTAAGATTCGAGCTGTACCAAAAAAAAGTACACTCAACCCACCAGCTGCGTGTACATGGCAAAATTTTCCAACACGAATATGCATTAAAGGAACAATATTGTGTTATCCCTATTATGGAATTTGGGAGAAGAAGCTAGTATCCTAGCATTACGACTAAGAAAAAAGGATTACAGCTCGAACCTACTCCCTCCGTTCCGAATTACTTGTCTTAGATTTGTCTAGATACGGATGTATCTAGCACTAAAATGAGTCTAGATACATCTGTATCTAGACAAATCCAGACAAGTAATTCGGAACGGAGGGAGTACAATTCACTTGCCAGAAGAAAGTACCTTGTTCTTGTCACGCCAACTGAGTGAAAATGGGGCAAGCAAACTTATTTTTCTAGGCTGAAACTCCTGTGATGAATCTTGGTTCACTTGGCCAGGAGATGCGTCTCGCGTTGGTGTCCTAGAGGAGAAGGGACAAGGCATCATATCAGATTAGCACCGGAGTACTACAACAACAAATGGCTGTTAATTAAGCAATAGGACACTACCAGTCTCAAGGTATAATTCATGGGTCACTAGATATACCGCAGTAACAACAAGATTAGCAAACTCTTTCCTTGCCACTGTGTGTAGTTATCTGGTCTAATACCATCAAACAAGACCACTATACCTTGGAGAAGGAGAAGGGGATGGTAGTTGTGCTTTCTGATGGCTAGATTGGTATTGAAGTGTTGCCTCCAACATTGTTTCTGCCATGACTGCTCTGTTCTCCATTTGCGTGAGTGAAGCCATAGCTTCATCATACTTTTCCTGCATGGAGAGTTGAATGTATAACACATATAGCATAAATTGAGCAAGCAGAAACATATTTGGTTTTGTTGTATGCAAATCCCAGACAGGTGACCAGTGATGGCAAATAATCATGACCCAATACTAAGAGCCTGTTCGGCAGCCCTCTACTCCAGAAAAATCAGTCGCTCCACTCCGCTTCGCTCAGGAAGCGCTCTCCTGATCGAACTCCACCAAGCACGCCTGTTCGGCTGGCTCCGCTCCGTGCAAGCATGGGCTGCCAGCCCATTCGGGTGGGCAAGAAAATCATGGAGTCGAGCAACTGCTCACCCTGGAGAAAATAGATTCGTACTGTTTCATTGGTGGCACTTGGCAGTGGCACTTTCCGTAATTTTGAACAGATATCGATTCTGCTGAAACGAGGAGCGAGGGTCAGGCCGCTCCGCAAAATTGTATTGCGCGCCGCTCCACTCTCGAATATCAGAGCCGCAGAGCTGATGCGTTCGGCACCACTCCGCCCGCTCCGGTCGTGGAGTTCGGAGCTGGAGTGTTGCCGAACAGGCTCTAACAGTATGAAATTGGAGTTTCAGATTTTTTGCCGTTTTCCAGATTTCAAACAATAGGACACTAACATATAAATGTGTAGAAAGACCACTTCCATTCGATATTGCGGGCTCCCAATTTGATCGACAAATTTAGAGGGCCAAGACTTAATTGCTCATACTGAATCAGCTGCTAATCTTTCGTCGGGCTGTAGTTTCGGTGAGACGTGAGAGAGATACAAACTGAACTAACCTGAAGGACATGTGAAGCAAATTTCTGAGCAGCTGCATCTTGCTCAGCAAAGATGCGGGCATCCTCTGTAACCTTCTGTTCTTGCTCTACACGCATGAGGACCTACAGTGAAGTAAATTCATGGTTAAGTAGATATACTTTAGTAATAACAAGGTTAATTGAGAAGAACGCATAAATAGCAACTCTACCTGAAGCATTGCTTGTTCCTGTTCCTCCTTGTCTGATAGAGATTGCCTTAGCTCGGATAATTCTTGTTCTAACTGCTCTACCTGAGAAGTGAAACTAGAAATATTAAGAATTATCGCATTTCAAGTCTTGAAACCAGAAATTTCCAGCTCGCAGGACTAGCTTAATTTATATAGCATTTTCTAGTTGATAAACTGGTTATCAAATACTCCCTCCGTCCCAAAATAAGTGTCTCAACCTCGAATGCACCGATATGGATACGGGTATCAGTATCGGGCCAATACGGATACGTAAATTCGTCATTTTCAAAAAGTGCCAATACGGATACGTTGTAGGTACTCAAAGCCATCTGGAGGAGATGAGAATGATAGATCTTCAGAGATCAGAGAAGAAAGAAGAGGAGATGAGCTTGGCTGGGCAGGAGAAATGGAGAAGATAAGTGTCCATGGCTGTTGCGTCAGAGGGGACGTTGGTGAGTAGGAGGAGGAGCTCGTCACCGGCTAGCCGCCACTGCTGCTAGCCCTGGGACCTGGGTGAGCAGCTGCTGGCGACACAGCCGCCGCCTGGTGTGAGCATGGGAGGGAGGAAAGACGCTGTGAGGGAAAGGATCGGGGGCATCGGGGCACTAGGGTTGCTGGTTGCTTCTTAACTGGGCTGAGCGGGCTCTTACCTGGGCTGGAAAAGTATCCAAAACGTACTGGCGAAGTATCCTTAGAGTATCGTAATTGTTTTAAATCATTTATTCTCCGATACTCCAGTGATACGTATCGGGGGCGTATCGGAGGAGTATCGGTATCGGATACGGTATCAGATCCGGATTTGCTGGTCGGCTGAAGTATCCGTGCATTCGAGGTCTCAACTTTGTACTAGCTCTAGTACAAATTTGTAATAAGCTCAAGACACTTATTTTGGGACGGAGGGAGTAGAAGGTACTATCAAAATTCAGGCCCAGTATGCAAGATGAACAACACATAGCTGAATAATGGTAATGGTGGGTGACAGTATGAGAAAGATAGTCACCAAAAATGTCCAAATGTTTACCTTTGCACTTAATTCACGTCGATTATCTTGCTTAACCATCTCCATCAGTGCTGTCTCTAGTTCATCAGCCCTGGATATGGATGAAAAGAAATAATCAGAAGGGTACTTCGACTGTTCGAGAAACCCAGAAGAAACAATTCCACTGACTAACGTATTCCGAACGACGAGAACATTTTCTATAGAGAAACATCTTTTGCTCAACAGTACACTAACAATACCTCCGATAGTAAGAAATTTTTCTCCACCAGATAAGAGTTTGCTTACATATAGCTTTTGCAGTATTAATATTGGTCAGCAGCTAAACATGAGAATACTAAGCACGGCTGAAACAATTACTAGAAGGTTCAGGGTCACTTCTGAAAGTGGACTAAATTTTGGTCCATAATTTGATCGATTTTGAACAAGCTAGTAGTTGACGTTTGTTCTCAAAGAGATTGTCCAGATTTAGTGACTTTTTGTCCATGATAACTGTTAGCTCTGATTGGGTTCGTCATGAAATAAACTAGAGTTGACTAGCTGCAGAATAATATGTTCCATCCAGTCAGTGGTCAATAGGACCGAAGCAGCTATCTACTGACAGCAGGTTCCATTTGATTTCAAATGTTACAAAGGTTAATACATCTCCGTTTACAAGTGTGTGGATATGCAAATTAATGGCTCAAACTGGTGACAATCTTGGATATTTCAAAAAACAGACCTCAGAACAGCTGATCTTCTCTCCTCTAGCAATCTACATAGCTCAACCTTCAGCCAGATAACCTGAAATAATACGACCAAACTTAAATGTTGTAAGCAATCGGGTTTGGTGACCACTCAAGACTTACATAAGCATAAGTTTTTTAATGGTGGAAAGTATCATGGTTGCAGTGCTTGTTAGAACAGATAGCCATACAAATTCTAACACCTACTCCCTCTGTAAAGAAATATAAGATCGTTCAGATTTTTATATTAGTGACCTAAACGATCTTATATTCCTTTACAGAGGGAGTACATAATATTTTGGATCAGGAGCTCAATGGTTCCCAGGGATTGAAGATTCTGTCTATGCTATTTGTATAGATCATAGTGAAAAGTACATGTAAATTATTGGACCTCAAGC